TATCATTTTTCTAAAAAAGTAATTGTAAATTTTTTTTTAATATTATAATTATAAATAATAATAACAATAATAATAATAAAAATTTATAGCAAAGCCAAGTAATTGCTTGCAAAATTCTTGTGGTGAAACAGAATTTACAAAAGATGTATGTTTTCGTCTTTATCTATCAATCTATATATATATATATAATTTGTTATTTATAATTTTTTAATTTATAATTTATAATTCAATTAAATAGGAATTAAATAAATTGTCCTCACTTTTACGTAAACATTCAACAACTGGTTTTTCAAAAGTACAAACCCCTCCTGCAACTCCATTTCCTGAAAATAAATCTTTCTTCGGTGGTAATAATTCCTCTCCAAATCGTATTTTTCAAATATTAGATAGGAATTCAAGGAGTTTAATTTTCTCTTGGCCTGATCCAAGTTTTGTTCCTGGTTTTGATTTATCTTATGATAAGGATGAATTTTCTAGATTATTACAAAATTCTTCTATAAATCCTAATAATTTTATTAATGGAAAAGATAGAATTGATGTTCATTCGCCAAATTGTTTGAGATTAATTTCTAAGAAACATACAATAATCTCTTCTGGAAAATCTCAACATGTTGAAAGTGTTATGATTCCTTATGGTATCATCATTTTCGCTTGTTTTCAACTTTTACCTTCGACTTCTTCAACTATTTCTTTCGCTTCTCCTCCTTTCAAACCTCAAAAATCTCTATCTGCTCCTTGCTCTCCACCTACCATAAATGGTAACTCTAAATGACCAAGATCTCCTAATTCTTCCCCTGGTTCTTTATCTCCAACTTATTATTCTGATTCTGGTAGCAATAAGGCTTGTTCTTATAATTCTGGTCATCCTTATCCTTATCGTCAAGAAATTTCGGATTTTGTTGATCCACCTTCTTCAAAACGAATTCGTCCAAATAATATCTCTCCTATACCTCATCCTTTAGTGAATCTCGTTTCTCCTCATAATTCTCCTCCTGTTTATCAAAATCAATATTCATTCCCATCAATGTCTCATTCACAAAATGATCAAAAATTACCAACTATATCACATCAACAAATATATTTTACTCATCATAATCAACAACATAATCAACTGTATAATCAACAACTAAGTCAACATTCACATATTGTAAATTCTTATCCTTCTCCCACTATTTTACCGCAACAAGATAATAATAACGTTATGCACCAACGTCAAAATCCTCCTCCTCCTCCTCCACCACCTTCTTCTCAACCTCAACCTGTTCCAAATCAAACTGCAAGTTTCACTCAATTTACTCCATCACACCGTAGAAACAATACGACTATTAACGGTACAAAAAAATGTGAAAGTTGTCATACGAGTTCTAGTCCAGAATGGAGACGTGGTCCAACTGGTCATAAAACGTATGTTCTTTGATTATATATTCAATTATATAATTATATATTATATTATAAATTATATATTATATATTATAAATTATATATTATATATTATAAATTATATATTATAATTTTAATTATAATTTTAATTATAATTATAATTGGATTTATTTATATAT